TGATTTCCCTGGCTTCCTTCAAGTCCCAGCTAAAATCCTACCTGAAGATCAGGAAGCCTTTCCTAATCCCTTTTAATTCTGGTGCCTTCCCTCTATTGATTATTTCCCACTTATTCTGTTTAGTGATTGTTCATACTTGTTTACCTGCACTTTTTCACTTTAGATTATGAGCTTCTCAAAGGAAGAGGCTGTTTTTGTCTTTCTTTGTATTCCCAGGGCTTACTTAACACACATAGTAGGCACTCAATAAATGACAAAACACAATCTATAAATGTAATTACGAATGCCCAATTTTGGTAGCTATGTTGTTATTCTTTTAGCTCGTATGTATGTCACAATAAACTATAACCCCTAGTTATTATTTTTAAATGAAACACTGCTGTCAGGGTTCACCTATCCAGTACTTCAGTAGTTAATATTTTGAACAAAAAGTGCAGTTTTAAGTTGTTTCATATAATCATGTGAGTTTCAGCTCAATGTTCATATCTGTTGGTATTTTTTCTAGTCTGGTTTTTGTAATCCCATATAAAAAATGGTCACATCCAAATTCATTCCAATAAACAACTTGAAAGAGTTTAACTAATATGTATTCATCCAAGTTGTTGATAAAATTAGCCTTGCTGTATACCAGTAGAGACCTCCCTGCAGGGTGACATTGATTCATTGATCAATACTTCTGAATCAAGAGTCTAAGATTCCACGTTACAAATAGTACCCCTTAGCAGCACTAGAGTCAGAAGGGACCTCAGAGATCATCTTCAAGGGTTCTTAACCTTTATTGTTTCATAGACTCTCCAATAGGCTGGTAAAGCCTAGCCTTATCAGAATAATGTTTTTAAAATTTATAGAATTTAAGAAATTAAATATGTAGAATTAAAAAATAAAGAAATTATGTTGAAACAATTTCACTAGCCCCTGAACTAGTTCAATCTGCTCGTTTTATAGTTGAATAAACTAAGGAACCAAGAAGGTAAGCATCTTGTTCAAGCTTAAACAACTAGTTATTGGCAAAAACTGCAACTAGAACTAAGGTTTTCTGATTGATTCCCAGTACAGCTTTTCTTTATTCCACTCTGTTTCCTTATACAAAATTTTTAATCTAATCATTCTTCTGAAGAATTGAAAGCCTACAAAAATAAGTAAAAAATGAATAAATGAATGAATAGATGGATGAATATATAGGTTAGGGAGGAAGAGAGAGAGAGAGACAGAGAGAGAGAGAGAGAGAGAGAGAGAGAGTGTGTGTGTGTGTGTGTGTGTGTGTGAGAGAGAGAGAGAGAGAGAGAGAGAGAGAGAGAGAGAGAGAGAGAGAGAGAGAGAGAGAGAGAGAGAGAAACTGAGACCAATTTTATGGGCAAACTCGAGGAACGGAGAGAGGTAAGAAATAGTCTTCCTTTGTCAAAGCAGAGGCTGAACTCTGAAATGGGGCCAGCTCACAATAATTTATTGATGTCTTTCATTATGAATATGCATAAATACCCCATGTGAGCAGCTGTTAATGTCAGATGCAAAACCAATATCTAGGTTCTTCCCTACTCCTCTCTGATCATCATTTCTTCATTTCCTCAAGGCTTTTCTGCATCTCTTTTCTGCTCTTACATCTCTTTTTCTTGGAAGATCCTCTGTGCTGGGGTGCCTTCAAGGGCCCTAGATGTGTCAATGAATGTAGCTGTTCTCTGCCATAATCCTCAGAGTTATTTTTGTTTACATTTGAATGGCACAATTATAATTTTCCTTGATGAAAAATACCAGTACATGCCTACTTTGAGTTCCATAGTAATGTGCCTGAGTAAGAAGCCATCCCTTTATAGCATATGTTAAGTCATTCCTTTGCCATATTCAACCTTATATTTAAAGAAGGTGTCAGAATTTAAACATAATTGGTTGATTCTCTTCATTTTTTAAAAGACTGGATATCTTTGAAAAATCTACCTTCCACCCAAGCTTACCATAGGTGATTAATTCCTTACCAGTTTTTTTTTCATAGAAGTGTAAGAAGGATATAAAAGGAGACATGAGGGTGGTGATGGGTTACGGGAGGAAGGGCACATGAAGGGCTGCTAGGAGAGTAGAAGAAACAATTTCTTAATAAAACACATCTGACAAATCATGAAAATAAAGTCAATGTTTTTCAGCCTTAAGCAACTAAGTCCCATCTGCCCAAAGTTTATTTTAGAGTCCAAATAGCATAAATATGCTTTGTGCTTGGATTCCCATAGCCTAACTACATCACATAATCATTCCGCCCCTCCCCAACCCCCAAACTAGCTTTCATATGTTTTAAGACAGTTTGCTACTGAACAAATGGCTATAGGGAAGTTCATAGTTGGATAGTTCACATTAGTACAATATGTTTTATTTGTTCCTGACAAGGCAATGGCAAATGATAGAACATCACTACCTGGAGGTAGAGTGCAGCCTTTGATATCCCAGTGTGTTCTTTCTTTCTTTCTTTTTTTTTTTTTGAAAGGAAGGAAGGGACAAAAAGGTAGGTTTTTTTTTAGTTTAGTTTAGTTTAGTTTTTCCCTGAACCAATCCTCTTATGAACCCCAGTCAATATAGGTTTTATGAAGTAAACATCAAGTGTGTCTTACTTAGGAAAAGAGAAAGATTTGACTACTCTGAGACCAGCAATTCAAACTCAGCATCCATCAAATTATAGCATGATCTAGTCAGCTTATTCATCTTTTCCACAAGAAAAGCATGAGATGCTCTGTTAAATGTTTTGCTAAAATCTAGGTAGACTATAGCCATAGCATTGACCTGATCTACAAGGTTAATAACTTTTCCAAAGAAAGGAAATAATGTTTGTTTGGTTTGATCTATTCTCTAGATTATCATTTTGGCTCTTTGCTGTCCCTCATTTCTTTTCTATATTTTCACTAACCACCTCTTGAATATTATTTCCCATCCAGATTTGTGTTTATCTGAGTTTTCTCATGGCTTGAATGTATCTCAGAATTGCCTGGGGCACAGAGAGCTTAAATGACTTTGCTTATGGTTACAGAGACAGTATATATATGAGAGGTGGGAGATAAACCCCAACTCATTTTGACTCTACGGCTGACTCTCTCTCTATTCAGGACTCTACTCTACCTTGCTTTAATGACATGAAATTGAATTTTGATAGAAATCAAATTCAGGTTCACTGGCCTGTAGTTTTAAGATTCTATTCTCTTTCTTTTACACACACACACACACACACACACACACACACACACACACACACACGCACACACGTGTCATCAATGCAGAGGAGATTACATATCCCAAAGCAATGTGACCAGAGAGAGGTGATCCTCTAGAAATAAAAGCTAAAAGAATCAACACAGAATGTCTAAGATTCACCTCTAAAGAAGTAATCAAACCCTTAGAAGGCTCATAGACTCAAAACCTCCTCAAGGAGCCAGAAATCTAAATATAAAATTGGGTAAGATGAACTGTAATTATGGAAATTATGACATTCTAATAATTAATGCAAATAGAAGAGTGATGCTTTGCATGGAGTCCAGAAAAAGATTTGGAGGATAAGAGTTCATGTTGATCCATTATTTCCTAGGAGAGAGAGTCCCTTTCCTGGCTGAAGGGAATATCCAAGGCATTTGAAAAGCTCACTCTATAATGGAACAAGAATAGGCTCTGGGATTAATTAAACTCATTCAACTGAAAGGAACTTTAGAAATTCTTTACTCTACTCCCATAATTTTATAGACAGACAGAAAAAAATATCCCACAAGACTATCCAACTTCCTTTGCTCTAATCTCATGCCCACCAAGAAAAGTTCTTGGAATTAATTCAGTCTACCAAGTACCATAATACTGGGTAGGAGGTGACCTGGCTGGCAGATAGGGACATTCAGTCACTGTAAAAACATATATCCTCATAACAAATTAATATATAGATCTTCTGGTCTGTATATTCTTGGTTTTGCTTTTATTTATATCTCCAACACTTAGCCCAGTACTTGACATAGTTGAATGCTTAATAATCTCTCTCTCCTCTCTCTTCTCTGTTTGTCTCTCTATCTTTGTCTCTTTGTCTCTCTCTGTCTCTCTATTCCTCTTTTCTCTGTTTCTGTCTCTTATCTCTCTGTCTCTGTCTGTCTCTTTTTCTCCCTCTCACCCTCTCCCTTCTTTCCTCTTTCCCTCCATCCCCCCTCTCTATCTCGGTCTCTTAGTCTGTCTGTTGGTCTGTCTCTCTCTGTGCTATAGGTCTGTCTTGTGAATTTGGTTAGCATAAATTAGCAATCCAGAACCCTTTTCTCGTCTTCTGACTTCCTTACTATGGGAAATGTTAAAAAATAAATTTCAAAAAAATGTTGAGGAATATATGGATCACTGTTGACCTTACTAGGGAGGTGATATCCTCAAGAGGTCCTGTCCAAAAGCACCAAATGACCTTGAATTTTCCAACCATTTTGACAACAATTACAATGACTTTCAAGATATTTCTGAATTATCAGTAGGATTAGAACGTCTTAATTGTTGATTATTTCATTGATTGGCTTCCTGACAACAGGGTCCCTGAGCAGGGTTTATTTTGAGATCAAGTGAATTTGGTTCATCATTTATTTATGAGACTTTCCTCTTGCTTGCAACTAGGCCTGCTATTAACGTAACACAATTTGTCAACTACAGAAAAAGAAATGGTCATCAGTAGCAGTTTTCCCCATTGCTCACATCACTTACTTGAATCTGTTTCACCTTGGCCACTCTGCCTGGGACTTTTTGTTTTTCCATGATGGATGTAAAGTGAGCCACAGCAGTAAAACACTATCTCTAGAGTCATAGAAGAATTGCAAAGTTGACCCTATGTTTGGGAAAAATTTTACCAATCAAAACCCCATCATAAATTCAGTGTTAGAAATGTTTGCGATGTATTCAATAGTGCACCTTCCTTTTCCCTTAATGATGAACAGAGCAGTAAAGTAGAAATGATGTGTCCATCCAGACAACACAGTTCTGTCAATAGTAAAATGAGGAGAGACATCCACACTAACCATAGTCTGTATTTTCCGGCTCCCAACAATTAGATGGCCAAAAATAGGGTGTCTATAGAACAAAAAAAAAAAGTTGGAATATATGTTAGACAATATAAGACAAATGTTACTTTTACAGTCTTGAGAACTATTCATATACTTAGAGTGGTTTGCTGATATTAATTTAGTGGTTAATAAATAAATCCCAAAGTGGCATGTTTTTCTTAGGCCATCACACTGCACTTTAAACCGTAGTCTACAATTCTTTATCAGCCACAAGATTACATGTAAAAAAATCATTTCATCTCTATGTCTGCCTCAACTCTAAATCAAATCATCCCCTATATAGGTGGTACATTCTGAATGGGCCTATCACTTACTTTATTATTCAAATGAGAACTCTTGATTCATAGACTACTTTCAAAGGATTGTGTTTAATCAAATTAATGTAATAAGAATACTTGGCTTTATAATTTAGAAAAATATCTTAGTACTGGATATGCAAATTAAAAATACTGAATGATGAGACAAACTCTTCCCTAAGATCTTAATGCCATTTGGGGTCATCTTTGATATTTGTACAAATATGTACAAATTTGTACAAATATCTTTGATATTTATACAATTAAAGTGAACTCTTCATGACTGAAGTTAGATCATATTAAAATAACATCATTTTATTCTACTAAACCAGCTCAGATAATTATGGCAACCTCTTGAATCATAGAATTTCAGAGTTGGACAAAGATTGTTAAAAATCATCTAGTTCAGAACTTCCATTTTATTCCCTTTTACTGAACTTCATTCTCCAAAAGTAAATGAACAGTACTGATTGCCATTTTCTTTTGAGATTCTGCCAAATAAAAGATAAGTGATAACTTTAGGAATTACTTTCAACACATAACACATCTTATTTGGTTAACAGTGGGCACATCTTTAATATTGCTCTAGTATATAGTAACTTAACAAATAGCATGAAAGAGATAAAAAGGAAATTACAAAATGCACTTCAAACTCAGGCACTCTGTCAACCACTTATGAAAAAGTGTTTCTGTTGTGGCTTACTTGCTGATATAACAGCAATTTATCATGTACAAATGCCAAAATAATAATTATTCAATATTCACCATAAACATAGTCAAGTTGTTGAGGAAGATATATTTTCTCTATAATACAATAAAATAGAAGAATCTATTTCTAAATATTAAATTATATAGGAAGTGGAAAATGTAATAGTAACATGTTATCCAGAGGGATCTTGATGACCCAAAACTTTTTACTTTCTCGTATTGGTTGGAGTAGAATTTGTGCTCGGTTATCAGGTGACCCTTAAAGCTCAAAGCAAATAGCTTCAGTTTCTCAGGTTCCCAGCACTCCTCTCACCTCCCAAGGGAACTGAGTCCCAATACAGAGGCCAGGGTACCTGAAGTTAGCCTTTTAAGTTCTCTATGACCTTCTACCCAATTCAATCAAGATTCCCTAGATTTTCTATTAACACCCAAGGTGAGGCAGAATTGGCCTGGGACTTCTGCAATCCAAAGGGTCACCCCAATTTTCAGAGTGTTCCCAAGTACAGTCTGATTTGAACCTAACTGTGATATCAAGGGCCCTGCAGACATCCCATTGTTTGGAAGTGCAAGTCAGAGAACTCTGCATGAAAAAAATTTCAGTTAGTCTGGTAGGGTGTCTAGAGAACCAAAATAAATATATAAAGAAATAAAAAAGAGAACAGGAAGAAAGAAAAGAATAGTAGAAAAGAGAAAAGAAAAGAAAAAGTGGCTGTTAAAAATTTGTTTTTCAAAGTAATGTTCGACTTGGCTCTGACACTTACTGTCTGACCATGTATAAGTCACTTCTCTGGGGTTCAACTTTCTAATCCATAAAATAAGAGGGAAAGACTAGATGATCTCTGATGTTGCATCCAGTTTTGACATTCTGTGATTCCCACTGGAATAGTCAAAGACTTCTGTACTTTGCAACATGATTTGTGAGTTTATCACTTCATCCTCATATATCTTTATTCCCAAATTATAAATAAATAAAGATGAGGAACATGCTTTTCCATGGTCACTTAACAAGTTTGTAGCAATGATGACATACAGATTATTATTCTCAGAATTCCAAGTTGTTGTTTTTTTTCAATTTGGGAGTCACTAAGTCTGTCTTCTCACTTTAAATTCCAAATTCTTTTTCATTCATGGTTGCCCTGCATTTTACAGCTCTTAAATAGCATAAAGCCTATCTGGAAAGCCAATGCATATCATATTATGATGAGTTCTCCATACTGAAATAGTTTGGAGATCCTAATAACAAAAGTTGATACTTGTCTAACTATCACATTGTTCCTGGAAAGCAATACTTCAAATAACATCTTTATCAATATACATTGATTATCCACTTGGTGGACAGCATTGTACTAGTCAGGGAAATATATCCAAAAGATCATTAATACTCTTGATCTCAAAGATATTATAATCAAATGGCTAATTTGTCTTCTTTTTTACTAGGATGTATGGTACAAATATTACATATAAATTTGATACAGGCATGTAATGTTTTTCTAATTCCATGTACATTACTTGTCTACTAATATGTGAACTATTATGACCTCAGGCCTCTTCAAACTACTGATCCCTTAAAGCTCCGATGTTACTAGGAAACTCCCTGCTCTTGCCACTCTCCCATCTTTATGTTGCCGTATTCAAGTTATCGATCTATAGCAAATGTTAAATGATTCCTCCAAAGGCTTTAGAATCCAGCTTGGATTCAGTAGTCCAGGGTGGGAGGAGAAGGGTTCCAAATCTTTTTTTCTTTTCTTTTCATGGCATTAATATAATTTTACTTCTGAGCAAATGAAACCATTCTGAAATACAGTCCTTAATGGCTTTCATTTTTCTCTTCTGTACCTGTCAACTTCCTGATCTTCGTTCAGCAAGGATGGATATGAGAGGACTGAGTATAACAGTCAAGTGCCAGAAATGGAGAATAAATAGAATAATTCCAATTCCCTACTACCACTACCATATACACATATCTCAAGTTCTGGTTTGAGTAGAGTAACTTCCACAGTAATGGAAAATGCGACATGAATTAACTTAATTCCAGTAACCAGAATTCTATCTTATCATTTAGTCAAAAAGACTACAGAAAGAACTTCAGGGTATCAGCAAAGCCAACAGCCCTCTCCCTTAAACTCCCCCCCCAAAAAAAAGAAAACACATAACATTGACCGAATTATGATTCATTATCATGTCTTTGGATTACTGGTGATAATTTGAGTACTTCTGTTTGATTATTTTATAAAATGCTGATATAATTTAAATGTCTTAAATAAGAAGCCACATTGTGAAGAAAAACTATACTTTCCTTATAGTCCATTACTTCTCATTCAAGAACTGTTAGTGCAAAAATGTTTTTGCAATTATTTTATTTTTTACTGAGTTAATGCCCTGGGCATAATTTAGAATATCAGATTTTCAAGTTTAATTCCTATATTGTTCAATTCACAAAAATATGAATTGCTAGAAATACATCTATGAGACCCTGCAACCAGTGTGTGTCACCTTATGACACAATGGGATGAAGTTAAAAGTTACTTTTTCAATAGAATTGGCTGACATTTTACCAAAACCCCAAAGGGGTATCTTGTTAAAGGAGCATTGGATATTCAGTAGGAAAAAGCTGCTCTTTCCCTCTGTTGATGAGGGAAGAAAATGCAAATGTTTTGGTGTGGTGCCAGTCAGAACAATGGTGTACCAAATTATTGCCAGCACTTTGAGTTTACAGAAAGTACTATTTGCCAGAACTGCTGTAGGACATTCCTGGATTCTGGCTTTAGTAAAAAGCAATAACCAGATGTCTATTTTGTCTAGCAATATGCCCCAAAACACTAGAAGGAGAAGATAGCAATGAGAATCAGATTAGTAGCTAACAGAAGACATGTACATACCAGATGGACCAAAGTTTGAAGACATTCACTTATCTATTGTGAACTAATTTTACTTTATTCATCAGGGACATAAAAAAACCCCAATAAAACAAAACATGACAACCAACCCCTGGGCAATGAGGACATCCACTGTAATATCTATTTAATCATTATCCCTTTGTAAATATCTTGTTGATGGCTATCTCCCTGAAAATGACATGCAATAAATTCCCAGACATCATAAATTCTATTTTAACAACAGATGAATTATTTTTTATGTAACAGGATAAGGGGGGCATATTGTGGGCAAGAAAGGTTAAACATAAAGAAATCTTGCATAGTATAGTGGTTTACAAAAGTTGAGTCTCTTTTCAATGACTTAATTAATAAAAAAGATTAAACATTTCAACCATCATTCTCTATGAAGGGAATAACAGTCCTAATTGAAAGGAAAGTTTCCAAGGCTTTGATCATGTTATACCCTATTCCTAGAACTCACCTTTTCTTCTTAAATCCTATACAACCTTTAGAGCAATGGGTGCCACTAAATGATACATAAGGATTCTTGGAGGCTGCATCTTGACTTAGAAAACACATATTAACATTATCTATGTTTTACGATATTTTACTGAATTTGTTAAATATTTCCCAAATATGTTTTAATCTGGTTCCAGACACACTTGGGAGTATTTGACACCTCTGCTTTAGAGGTAAGCTCTAATGTCACCTCTTACGTGAAGCATTTGTTGGTTTCCCCCAGTTTGAAAGGCTTCTCCCTTCAAATTATGTCTTTTTTGTGTATTATTAGTATTACATAGTTTATAGTGATTCTGTGTTTATTTAAAATATTGCATATTTACATATGTATAATATCTTCTGCTATACAAAATGCTTCATTAGTGTAGATACCCTATCTCAATTATCTCTGCACCTCCCCTAGTGCCTTGCCTAGTGCTTTAAAAAACGCTTGCTAAATGAAGGAATTAATATTATAGTGGGCACAGAATGTTCACATATTGTACCAAATTATTAAAATGCTCAGAAATAGTGAATAATAAAACTTAAATGATTTTTCCAACTGCCTTAATTCTTCTGTGTGTATTTTGATAAGAGATAAAGCAGAAGGAGTATAATAAAGTTCAGAGGCGTGGGTTCAGCCAATCCTTGATAACTTGTTATCAATGCTCATGAGTTATTAACTGTGTTGCCCTGTGGATTCATGTGCAAATGCCTAAACTCCAGGATTTTTAAATATTCAGGAGGAGATCATCTTAAGGAAAGTCCAAATTATTGTGCAAAAAAAAACTTTTGAAGGTTGTTAGGATGAAAAAAATCTATCTTTACAATTTTATTAAGGTAAGGTGGATGATGCCTTAGTTTGCAATGTTAACCTCTCATAGCCTTATAAATCTGCACCCAAACATCTTCAACAATTGCTTAATGCTTCTTTGCACAACATCTGAATGTGATGAAAGTTATGAAAGGTCCACAGCGTCTTGTCAGGTGAAAATGACATTCAGCTATTATATCAGAATGCTGACTCAGCAACTTGGAGTTCACAGAAAATGCAAAAGACACATTATAAAATGCTTGATTGTTAAGAAATGGAGGAAAAGTTTACACCCTGTTGGAAAACACAGGCATTTCCATAAAATTCTGCTCTTCCTAAGCTCCTTTGGGGGAAGAAGGCAAAAATCACCAATTCAAGTCCAATGGTTATAACAAGCTCAAATGTATGACTAGGTTTTCTCACTTTATTGAAGCTTTGTTGCAACAAATATCTTTCAATATAAGTGGTCCATCAACTAGAATTTATAAATATTTTTATTGTAGGTTGATTTTTTTATAATAGTAGTATGTATGTTAGGAGAGTTTCCCTGTAATATCACCTAATTGGCAAATTAGAAAGCAACACATCTTAATTTTAAAGGTATATCATAAGATAAATCCCAATTAAATACACCCCATTAATTCCAAATTTATAATATATTTAAATGGATTGCTCTACTTTTGCTCTATTATAAAAAGAGAAAGTTAGCCATAGTTTTCTAACTGTAAAATGGGGGTTGGCATAGAATCTAGATATCAAACACAGGGCTAACAGGCCCACAAAATTCCCTGAACCAGATTAAAATGTAATTTTGAAATAAATAAAACACAAAATACATTTTACAAATGTACTAAAGATACAAAAATACATTTTAAAACTGAGTGAATATGCAACCCACAGGGATCCTTATGTAAAGATTAATGGCCCCTATTTCTATTTGGGTTTGACACCACTAGGCTAGATGACTTCTAAGGTGGTATAATATACTAGAGATATGCTGGATTTGCAGTCAGTGGGCTTCAGTTTATATTCTCCTCTACAACTTATTAGCTGTGTGATCTTGGGCAATTCATTTAACCTCTATGGATTATCATCTCCTCATTCTTAAATGAAGGGACAAGACTAGACACCCCTTCTGGCCCTAAATCAGTGATCCCATGAATTAAATCTAAAGTTATATGCTCAATGACCTGAAGATAATTGGCTATTGTGAAACACTTTGAAAAAACCATTTATATATAAACAACTATAAGCTAATTAAAATATCTTTTTAAACAAGAATTGCAGTAATAGAAACTTTTTGATCTATTTTGAGTTATGTTTACTTAGAATCAATAAAAATTAATAAAATATCATTCCTTAAAAATTTAGTTTTTTGAATAATTAAAACTGATTTCCTATAAATTAATTCAAATTGGTGAAATAAATATCAAAATGTTTGATTGTTGGCTAAATCAGATACCACTAAAATACAAAGAGAAAAAACATCATGAATTTCCTTTGCTTGTATTCCAATTGTCCTTTGAACAACAGCTATGAAAACTTTTTTGATGGAAAAAAGGTCCTAAAAATTTGCTTTCCCCTTCTACTTTGGTTGCCTGGTTTTCCTAGCCAAATGGTTCCAAGATTTCTCTTTAGTGATCATCCTAGACACAGTATTCTACTTTTCATGCTTCTCAAAACAGCATCATAATGATATCTGAAATTTGGATTGTGAGACGTCATCTCTAGAAATTCACTGATGAAAGCAGTCAATCCCAAAGTTTGACCTTTAGGTTTATCAGCATGTTTTATTTCTGTAAGCTTCAATCCTCTAATCAGGGATTCCTGACTCATCATGTCTGATTCTGTCAGGGAATGTAGATCACTTGCTTCAAGTATGTTCAAGTGGACTCAAGTGGCAAATGTCTGCACAGTCAATGAAGTTTGATGGAACAACCATTAGTGGAAGGGAGAATTACAATGGGCCTGCTTGCTTCATTTGAAAATGACCCAGACATGTGTAGGGGAAGCAGGGGTGGTGGGGTAGGGGTGAGGGTGTTACAGTAAGGGGGCATCAGCATTTTGTAGCATTTCTTAGTTCAATTCATGTCTTAGTTGACTATACTTTGCAAAGAAAGGTTTAGTATAGTCCTCTCTGGCTTGCAGGAAAGTTGTCGATATCAAATTGTGGAGGACATGCAATTAGCTATGCTTCCTGAACTCTACTTTCTAAACACACACACACACACACACACACACACACACACACACACACACACACACACACACACACACATCCCTCAGCTGTCCATGTTCCCATCCCCATTCTCCCGCTACATTGCCATGCCTTCAGTGCAAATTTCTGACTGAAAATACTCAGGGATCTTAATTGAAGCCCACGACTCACAGATGGGGGCATTTCTACCTCTTGAAAAACCATCAAATCACTGGTCTTAAGCTCTTTATTTAAATATAATAATCAAGGCATTTAGCTTTCCTCAAATCACCTTTCCTGCTTCTGTGGTCTATAATCCATTTTTCTCTAGATCTGTTAGTAGGTTTTGTTTTCTCTTTCTTAAACATTCATTATATCACTAACTTGCCCAAGTCAAAGGGAGAGAAAATAAATTATCATTTCCAAAAGTGCTTCTTTAAAAATCCCACAAGCTTCCCATCAGCTGATTAAATTACATTTGGAATGCACTTACTTGAAATCGGTAAAATGTGCCATCATCCTTTAATGTGAGAACGTGATCTGAGATTGGAAAGAAATAGCCATGGGCAGCCATTAATGTCCCCAAATGGAGAGCCTCCACTGTTTCATGAAAAGAAAGAAAAGAATATATAAAGGCTTTTATATCTTTGATTTATAGCAATGTAATAGTTTTCAATCTCTCTGAACACACTGTAAAATCAAAATCTTTAGCATTCTGAAAGCAGTGTTTTGTGTATATTATAATATTTTTGATTTCATGAGAGAAGTTACTGACATGATTACTGCTTCTATTAATCAGCTTTAAATATTAAGTAACCTCCAAGTGTCCTCTCATTTCATCATAATTTTCTCTCTGGGTACTAGATTCAGTTGACACTATCTTCCCCATTTTGCCTTTTCATTAATCACCTTCCACATGTGAAAACTATTTGGAGTAATGTCACATTTATTCTAGAGAATGGGTTTCCCAAGGGAAAAAAGCATTTTCCAGATAACAGAGGTACAAACCTTAAAATAGACCAATTTTTTATTTTAACTGTTTTTTAGGAGAATCTTTTCAAAATGTTATAGATGTGCTTTTCCAACTAAACAGAATGTACTGAACACAAATATAATCATTTCTTTATGGCTTAGTGTCCTCAATATTGATATCAGTTATTTTATTTTGTTGTAACACAGTGATGATCTCAGGGACAACTGAAATATGCTCTATACTGTTTCACCCACAGGCAGCTCTAGCTTTAGCTATTCCATCTAGTGCATCCTATGTACAACATGTGGTTATGTTTAATGGCAGAAGATATGTGAATCTCACCCTGGTGGCCATCTCTGTTTTCTACCATCATCCTCTTGGCTCAACCCACCTTTTCCCCTCAACCTGTTGCTCAGCCCCTTTACTGTTTATCTCTGCTCCCTGCATAGAACATATGGTAGAACTGACAGGTTGGAAGGAGAAACAGATGAACATGTATGTATGTATGTATGTATGTATGAGCCAGTTCTCATTTAGTAAATCCTCCTTATTTATGGATCCCAAATACGTGAATTCTTGGAAAATTTATTTGGAATCCCCAAATTAATACTTTTGAAGCACTATCATGGTCATTACTGGGCATGTGCAGGGCAAAGAAAAATTCAAATCATTGATGTGCACTTTTGCAGCTGAGGTCAAACAAGAGGACACTGGCTTTTTCTTTCAGCTCTCATACTGTAAATAAGTGACATTTTTAGTCTATTTAGTACCACATTTTTCTTAGCTTTGTATTTTTGCTTGTGATTTCACTGTTTAAAATGACCCCCAAGTATAGTGCTGGTATGCTGTGTAGTGTTCCTAAGCTTAAGAAGACTGTGATGTGCTTTATAGAGAAAATATGTGTGTTAGATAAGCTTCATTCAGGTATGAATTATAGTGCTGTTGCCTGTGGGTTCAATGTTAATGAATCAACAATACAGTATATCCAGAAGAAGAGATTTGTTGATTTGTACATGAGGCCACTCTAGAAAATGCTGAATTAAATGTTTTGACCAAATGCTTGCAGGAGCCTATTCCCATATTCCCACTAAGAACAGTGCTTTGATATTCACAGCAACTTTATAGAATATGATTACGGTGAATGACAAGAATTAACTGTGTGTGTAAGTTTATATACATATGCATTATATATGTGTATGTATATATATACATACACACATACATACATACATACATACATACATACACACACACACACATATAAACATTTTAAATAGAGAATAGTGGTGGATTTGAGATAACCCAAGATAGCTCTGTTTAGATTTTTCTTGTCTTACCTTTCCCTACTTCCTTTATTTTGTATGATAGACCCAAGGATCTTGAGTTGGATGTTGAGAAAAATTCCTGTTGCATCCTAAGGACTCCTGGGATCTTTTTGCTTGACTTACAACTGAAACCTCTTATGTATATTGTCTCTCTCATTAGAATGTGAGTTCTTGAGATTGGGGACTATCTCCACTTTTCTATTTTTATCCTCAGCATTTATCCACAGTGCTTTATATATGGTAAGTGCATAATAAATGCTTTTTTATTCAGTCATTCACAGGTCCCCAAACAAATACAGCTTTTCAGGATGATTTCAGAAAAACCTGGAAAGACTTAATTGATCTGATGCAAAGTGGAGTAGAACTAGAAGAATATCGTACACAGTAACAGCAATATTGTACAATGAACTATGAATAATTAAGCTATTCTCAGTATTACAATTATTCAAGACAATCTCAAAAGACTCATGATGAAAAATGCTATCTGCCTCCAGAGAACTTATGGAATCTGAATACAGACCAAAGCATACTATTTTTTACTTTCTTTGCTTGTTTCTTTTTTCTTTTCTTTTCTTGGTTAGAGTTTTCTTCCAGGAAACAACTAATATGGAAATATGTTTTACATGATTGCACATGTGTAACCTATATCAGATTGCTTACTATCTCAGGTGGGGGGATGAAAGAATTTGGAACTCAAAATTTAAAAAAATTAATTGTTTTATATATAATTGGACAAAAACAAAATATTATTTAAAGAAATACAGATCTTACTCGTGGCTATTTGTTGAAACATTAGTCCATGATATGCTTCTGAACTGGTAAGATTGGCAATCAGGAATCACTGCAGACTAATGGTATGTGCTAAACCCAAGTTAGATTGGACTTGGATAGAGACCTTGCCACTAATAGAAGAAACAATGTTCAAAGATGGAATACATGACTGTGGGCTCTAAGTTAAACATATTCTGTGCAGGTACAGCCTAAAGGAAGGAGCCATTTACATGATTTGTCTTAAGGGTATGTAGAAAGTTGAGATAACTCTAACTCTGTCAGGTAAGAGGACTGTTTCTATATTGAGTAAATGGGTAGCTATTTCTGAATATGAATATATTAGTATTCATGTTTATGAATACTAATACAAAATCTAAATCCAATCAAAGTGCTTACCAATAATATCTACACTTTTATGTCTTCCTCTGCTGAAGTCCAATTTTGGTGCTTCTTCATAACATGGAGATGATGGAATTCTCAAAGGTTACACCATCAGAGCTTTGAAAGGCCCTACTCAACTTCAAAGTCTTCAGATATGTACTATCAATGTGCAAGTCATCCAAGGAAAAGCTTTGTGTCGAAAGAGGCTCATTTCTACAAGGTTGGGTATGATCTTTTCCAGGCATAGGAATTTATGACAACTGTTTTCTACAGTGTGGAGATATGATCTACACTGGTGAGGTAAATGCTCATACTGAAGCAATTATAGATCTTTTAAATACAAAAGTACATTGAACCTACAGATAATTATTTGTGCATCACTCCACTGTTTCTATGTAGTTTAAATTCTTTTGGGCCAAGAAGTGTGGTATCTACTTTTGTCCCCTGATAATCTCCCTTACATGGCAAAATTCTACTTTATACCCCTGTGGAATTCTCACTGTTTTTGATTATATCTGTGGGAGTTGATCAAGCCAAAGTAGTGTAAATTTTAAAGTGCAGATTGCTGGGACAGGATGAAACAATTATGCCCACCTTGAACTTCTACTGTAGAGAAAGTACACTCAGCAAGTATGTCAAAATTTCGTGGAAGGAATTGTACCCTTAATGTTATAGGACCTAAGGACAGTGTCCAAATAAACTACTCTGAGGGCTATCTTTGCATAAAGTAAAAAGTTAAATGCAGTGTATTCCACAAGTCTTGGTGCAATTTTAAGCTCCAAGGTTTAAAACCAATAACTTCAAAAGATCTGATACCTTCTAATTTCTAGAGACAGATGTTGAGACTCATAGCATTTGGTTAACTGCACACTAAAAATCCCTGTGGTCCAATTTCACCCTGGGCTTATAGGTGTCTTCTTAGTTTCATGACCATCATTATGATGATGATCAGTGAATCTCTAAGCATTTCCAGTGTATGTAGCAGTACGGTAGAAAGAGTACTTGACCAGAAATCAGAAAACATGGCTTGTAGGTCAAGCTTGACTACTACATAGTAGCATGACATTGGAAACTCACTATCCTGGCTCAATGCAGCACTAACAATAGTAAATGAGGAGTGGACAGTTGTTAGCATGCCACTATCAGAAATGAACCTTTTTTCAACCTGAGACTTTGTAGGTAATTACAAAATATAATTACATTCTCCCTGCTATTAATATATCCACGACCTATTCTCTGCTCACCTCCTTTTGTCTTGGGAGAGTTGCTTAGGGCTCCATTTCATAACCTTTCTCAGTCTGGGCAAGATCAGATTCATCATATGTTATTTTTATTATATTGAACTTTCTGTTTATTTTGTTTGTAATTTAATATTATTGTTAATATGTTTACCATCTTAGAGGTATTGAAGCACAACAACCTATTAAAACCATAATGGCTCTTGTAGAAAAGCAAGAATTTGACAACCCAAAGGAGCAGATACCCCAGCAGGTTGTCCTGCAGTGCATATTCCTTATAGCCATTCAGCCTCAATAGGCTTATTTGATCAGAATGAGCAGCAACAAATATAAGCTATCTACACTCAGATGTAGCTATCCATACTCCCAAGCTCAAGTATCTCACACCCAAATGAGAGTCTATCCACAACAAGCTCCCCTACCTCTTCTTACACCTTTAAATTTGCCTCAATAATAAAAGGTGATTTCTGTTCAAAACCTCACGTAGAGACTTTTGGTGGCCACAGAAATAGCCCAATAGCTGTTAGTAAATCTAGTCATTAAGTTATGTTCCTAGGCCAAAGAGCTTGTAGAGAAATTCATCAAGCTTACTGCAAACCTTGTCAACTTCTCTCTTCCCAAGTCTATGTATTGCTAGACTTCATTTGACTTTATAATAGGAAATCATAAGGTAGGCTAGAAATCAGAGCAGGGTTAAATCTCTAAATCCATTTCACTTCACAGTCTGTAATACCCCATATGTCTCTACATGTTTTGAACTATGTAATAGCAGGTTAAAATTTCAGAATGGATATCAGCCAGATCACTTATATATAGGGATATAAGTTCAGTAACTCAATTTTCTCCCTCACAAATTGGTGACAATATACAGGGTACTCCATGAGTCTGGTACAATTTTAATCTAATAAATTT